GCTTTTATTCTGGCTGCTTTGGCAGCTGATTGGATGGTGCCACCCAGACTGAGGCTGGGTCTGCCTTTCCCAGTCCACTGACTCAAATGTTAATCTCCTTTGGCAACAAACACCCTCACAGACACTGCCAGGAACAATACTTTGCATCCTTCAATTCAATCAAGCTGACACTCAGTATTCACCATTACAATGCCCGTTCTATTTTTAGAATTTGGGGAACATAAGATATCAAGCACTGTAGCCCCCTTTTCTTTGGGCTTTACTTATTGCAAAACAGTTCCCATTGCAAATGACACCGATACACAAGTTTTTGTATGAGATTCATCTCTTTGTACTTGGAAATTATGAATAATTTTTGGAGGAAAAAGAAAACACTTATAGCTTGACAAGTCATGTGTACCATTTCTGAAATTTCCCCTAAGTTGATAGAACAAGTAAATAACTTGTACACTATCAGATTTAAAGTTCTTTGCCAAAAAAAGAAATATATATATATATATGATGAAAGGAGTTTGCTTCTGTGTCCATATCAAGGATTGTTTTAAAAGTGTTTCTTAAGGAGAATAGAAAAATTTATGGCTTTAAATTTTTAGATTCTTGAGAATTTACTGAGCCTCAGCCATCAGTTTTATATCTTACAGAAGTAGTTGTTCATATTTTTCAAATTGATCAAATCACTTTGAAGAAACTCAAACCATTCTACTGGTGCGACTAAAGCTAATAGTGATGGTCGAGGTCACTGGAAATTGAAAAATGCGAGTCCAAAAGAGGAAACAGTGACAAAAAGCTATCACCTATTTGTGACATTAGAGTGAAACTGAAAAGGGCATTAAAGGAAAGCATATTCTGTTGCTATTTTAAAATATACTTAGGATTTTATAATTCCAAATGGATACATATAAAAATACATGTTTTTCAAGCTCAACCACAGCATCGAAAAGAAAAATTTGATAAAGTCATCTATATGTCAGAAACACAAATAGTTTTAGAAAATTGAAGGAGTAGCAAAATAAAGACCCATAATAGAAGGGCATCCATCAAGTATATGATATGGAGAGAAATCCATTCCACTGACTTTCCAATTTTGTTCTTTATCAGGCTTATCCTCAGGCTTACCTTGGTATAATACAGTATATCTTTCTCAGTATAGCCTATAGTTAAGAATACAAAGAGGTAAATCAGAAGCTGTAAAAACATTCTGTGTTGGTACAAAAGGAGAGATGTCAGTAAGTAATTTCAGCTCCTAACATAGAAGATAAAAGGTGCTTACATCCTGATAAAAGACAAATATTTAGGGAACTAAAATTGTCCATTTCAAACCATTAGACCTGAAACCAGTTTTACTTATAAACTTTACTTGTAAATGTTGTGTCAATATGGCTAGAACAACACACAAAACCTAGCGTGTGGTCTGTCAACCAATATACTATGATTTAGGAAATGTAAAGAGAGAAAAATGCTCTAATGACAAAAATATATCACTTTACACACAGACAAATTTGTATAAGTACGATGAAAATTTTATGCTTTTATTTATTTGCCTAAGCAACAGATTTTCTCTCACTTACTAAGTGTACTTTCCTTTAGATATCTTATATATTTTGTCATGAGAGGGTGACAATATAAAAATGCAATGCCACTAGTAATTTGTTAAAATGGTAAAGACCATTTATTTTAGGTTTGTCTGAACATTTTAACCTTTTTCTTAATACAATATAATATTGAATATATTATTTAAGAATACACTATTGGCTGGGCGTGGTGTCTCACGCCTGTAATCAAAACAATTTGGGAGGTCGAGGTGGGTGAATCACAAGGTCAGGAGTTCGAGACCAGCCTGGCCAATATGGTGAAACCGCATCTTAACTAAAAGTACAAAAAATTGGCTGCGCGTGGTGGCAGGTGCCTATAATCCCAGGTACTCGGGAGGCTGAGGCAGGAGAATTGCTTGAACTCGGGAGGCAGAGCCTGCAGTGAGCCAAGATTGTGCCACTATACTCCAGTCTGGACAATAGTGCGAGACTCTATCCCTCCTGCCAAAAAAAAAAAAAAAAAAAAAGAATGCACCATTAATAGTAATACGTATTGGCAAAATTAGTTTATGCACATCTCTATAACATTTTCCGTGTGTGTGTGTGTGTGTGTGTGAGTGAGAGAGAGAGAGGTAACGTTTTCATGTCTTAATGGTTTGTGGCATAATATGTTATATTCAAGAAATTGCAACAGACAAGTAAATGACTAAAGACACACCTGGCACTACAAAAATACCTTGGAAATAATAAGTTCTTCATTTAGGAAAGTAATTTTTAAGCTCATTTATGTTTATATATTTTGTATATATACATATATATAGTAATAACATAATACTAACTATGAGAAATTTTAAGGTGTAGCAGACCAGGCTTATTCACCATTTAGTTCTATGTGTGTGCATTTGCATCATACCAGTGCAATGATAGAGCATAGGTTATGTAATAGGACTCTAGAGTTCCAATGTGAACTTTGCCGTATGCTACCTGTGTAGAGTGAATTACCAAATCTCTCTGTGCCATAGTTTTCCTATCTATAAATTGGGTTAATAACACTGTCTGTCTCACAGGGTTGCTGTTAGGATTAAATGAGCTGATATATAAAATGTGCTTAGGTGATTGGTGAACATGCTCTATTAGCTATAGTAATAACAATAAAAAATAATTACATACATTAATTTTAATGATGTTGGCTATTACTATTGATTTTAAATTTAAAAGACAAGCTGATTGATAGTTTATTTTATCATTAAATATATATAATTGATGTGGAAGAACCAACTAAAGTTTTCTAATAGGAAACACATATGGAATTCCATAGAAATACTTTTTTTCAATCAAACTGTCATATCCATATGCTTATTTGCCATCTTCTTTTCTCATTCGAAACTGTATGATGAAGTTATCTCCAGGTCACTAAAGTATATAGTAGAAAATATTTATTTACGCTGTTCTTTTTCTTGGTCTTTCTCCATAAATGAGGTTATCTACAATGGTAGCCTTCATTACCATCTATATTTTGATCATTTCCAGAACTACAAATGCAGCTAAGAATATGACTGAATAGATAGATACATACATACATACATACATATATACATAGATGATAGATAGATAGATAGATAGATAGATAGATAGATAGATTTATAGATAGATGGATAGATGATTTTAAAAGCATCTTTAAGCTAATATGTCCCAAATTAAACTGATCATCTTCCACTCACAATGTGCTCTTCCTATTTGGTTCAGGTGTAAACGGCGTCATGCTTCTGCCATGTCCCGAAACTCAGTCAACATTTTTGCCTACTCATCTCTCTTGTGGCCCGAGTCTCTCATCAGGTCCTCCTGGCTGTGCCTCCTAGAGAAGTTTCAGTTATCCCCCTTCCTTCTACATTGATGTTGCTATAAGTTAGGGGATGATCACCTCTCACCTGCCTTGCTAAAGAATCTTATAACTATTTTTCTTACATTTATAAGACTAAAAACTACCGATAGATCTGTGTTTTCCTCAATATAATAATGACATTAAAAATATTGAGCAATTATAATATGATAGGCACCTTTAAATTACTTTACATATCTTTTTAATTATCAGGAAAAATCTTATGAGAAAGATAATGATTGTTGTATCAATTCATAGTGGAAAAAACTGAGACAAAAAATTTAAGTAATAACACTATTTCATATAGTTAGAAGGTGCTAGGCCAAATAAAAATTGCCTAATCATACTTGGAAGGCCATTATGTGTGCCCTTGATTCACCCCAATGTGTTGCTCCACTAATGTCCTTGCCTCTGGCAGGCCTCTCTTGTCCGCCCAACACTGGGCTAAATCTCATAGTATTCTCGACTTCAGAAAACACAGTATTCATCCAAATACTCATCGCTATTATTTCCATATCTACTTGTCTCTCTATTACTATAGGCTTTGTAAGAGAGAGGACTGGGTATCTGTGTTCATGTTTATCATTGCATGTGTCTGTCACATGTCAGGGAGGTCAATTAATAATTTTTGTTAAAATAGTGAATCACTTGAGGTTACCCATGTCTCTTTTCATGGTGGTTTACCAAATTTCTAGCATGCTTTTCTATAACCATAACACCTATGTCAGTTAAAAACTGAGCCATTAAAAAACAGTAATTGTATGCACACTTGGTAGGTGTGGGTGAATGGAATGATGAAACAATGATCTAACATAAAAGGGTTCTAAGTCTCTTTGTATAGATTTCATCGGGATGAGCCCTTATCACAGGCCTGAGATTAATTCATGGGCATAATCTGTTGTTATCTTCAGTTTCTCCTTTTGGCTTTTGTTATTATCAGGCCAGATTTCTGTATTTGAAAATAGATATCTTTGCTTTGAAATAACTTTCACACACTTATTTTATTGCCACATCTGAAAAGAGAAACGGCACTCTCTGTTATTCCTGGGTGTTAACCTTTTCAGAATAAAATTGTTAGTTGTGAAGATTTTATGTATGTATCTTGATTTATTAATGATGGTTTCATGAGACATGCTCTATGGATTAAAATGTATATATGTGTGAAAGAAATACATGACATATTGGGAGAAGTCTATGCTATTTATATTGATAGGAAGGAAAAAAGCATATAAAGCTAATTTGTGTCAAGTGCTGGATATCAGTCTATGTGTTTTAATTTGCTCTTTAGAAAACCCTATACTGCAGGTAAGAAAATTGTGACTTAGACAGGAGGTGCTTTATGTAAGACCATGCGGGCAGTAAGAAAAATTTTAATGTTCAACACATAGTGATAATCTATGCTATGAAGAACTGCAATAAAATATAAGGTCTAATGTTCACACTCAAAGATATAAACATTAGTTGAGAAGAAAAATGATATTCATTTAAAATCAAAGGCAGGAATCAGAAGAGGTAAATTACAAAGGTTATAGAAGGAGAGTGTCTTAGTCCCTTAGTACAGCTATAACAAAATCCTTGTAACTGGGTTCTTTATACAAAACAGAAATTTATTTCTCAGTTCTGTAGCCTTGGAAGTTCAAGATCAAGGTGCCAGCAGGTGATGTTTGGTAATGGCTTGGTTTCTCTTTCCCAGATAGGGCCTTGTTGCTGCATCTTCTGGACTGGAGGAACTCCATGTTCTTACATGACAGAAGGGCAAAAGGGGTGAATACTGTGTGAAATCTTTTTATTTTAATTTTTAGCTCTTATTTTAAATTCAGGGGTACATGTGCAGGTTTGTTACATAAGTAAACCTGTATATTGGGGGTTGGTTGTACAGATTATTTCATCACCTAGGTATCAAGCCTAGTACCCATTAGTTATTTTTTTCTGATCCTCTCCCTCCTCCCATCTTCTCCCTTTTGAAAAACCCCAGTATGATTCACCTCTATCTCTCCATGTGTTCTCATCATTTAGCACACACTTACAGGTGAGAACATGTGGTATTTTGTTTTCTGTTCTTGCATTAGTTTGCTAAGGATGATGTCCTACAGTTCCAACCACGATCCTGCAAAGGACATGATCTCATTCTTTTTTATGGCTCCATAGTATTCCGTGGTGTACTTGTACCACATTTTATTTATCCACTCTACCATTGTTGGGCATTTAGTTTGATTCCATATCTTTGCTATTGTGAATAGTGAAGAACATATGCATACATATATCTTTATAATAGAATTATTTGTGTTCTTTTGGGTATATACCCAGTGATGGGATTGTTGGGTCAAATGGTAGCTCTGTCTTTAGGTTTTGAGGACTCACCACACTGTCTTTCACAATGGCTGAACTAATTTACTCTTCCACCAATGGTGCATAAGTGCTCTTTACTATCCACAGCCTAGACAGCATCTGTTAGTTTTTTACTTTTTATAATAACCATTCTGACTGGTATGAGATGGTATCGCATTGTAGTTTTGATTTGCATTTCTCTAATGATCAGTGATGTTAAGCTATTTTTCATATGATTGCCTGACACATGTATGTTTTCTTTTGAAAAATGTCTGTTCATGTCTTTGCCCACTTTTTAATGAGGTTGTGATATGGTTTGGCTGTGTCCCCACCCAAGTTTCATCTTGTAGTTCCCATAATCCCCATGTGTTGTGGGAGGGACCCAGTGGGAGGTAATTGAATCATGGAGGCAGTTACCTTCCTGCTGTTCTAGTAATAGTGTGAGTTCTCACAGGATTTAATGGTTTTATAAGGAGATTTCCCCTACTTCACTCTGCACTTCTCCTTCCTACTATCATGTGAAGAAGGATATGTTTGCTTCCCCTTCCACCATGATTGTAAATTTCCTGAGGTCTCCCCAGCCATGCTGAACTGTGAATCAATTAAACCTATTTCCTTTATAACTTGCCGAGTCTTGGGTATGTCTTTATTAACAGCGTGACAATGGACTAATAAAGGTTTTCTCTTGTAAATTTGTTTAAGTTCCTTATGGATGCTGGATATTAGACCTCTGTCAGATGCATAGTTTGCAAAATTTTTCTCCCATTCTGTAAAATGTCTTTTTACTCTGCTGATAGTTTCTTTTCTGTGTAGAAGCTTTCATTCAACTAGCTCCCATTTCAATTTCTCAATTTTTGCTTTCATTGCAGTTGCTTTTGGCATCTTTGTTATGACATTTTTGCCATGCCTATGTCCTGAATGGTATTGCCTGGTTGTCTTCCAGGGTTTTTGTAGTTTTGTATTTAAGTTTTCAATTCATTTTGAATTAATTTTTGTGTATGGTGTAAGGAAAAGGTCCTGTTGAAATCTTCTGCATATGACTAGCCAGTTATCTCACCAACATTTATTGAATAGGGAATTCTTCCCTTATTGCTTGTTTTTGTCAGGTTTGTCAAAGATCAGGTAGTTATAGGTGTGTAGCCTTATTTCTGGGTTCTCTATTCAGTTCCATTGGTCTATGTGTCTGTTTTTGTACCAGCATTGTGCTGTTTTGGTTACTGTAGCCCCATGCTGTAGTTTGAAGTCAGGTAGTGTGATGCCTCCAGCTTTATTCTTTTTGTTTAGGATCGACTTGCCTATTTGGGCTCTTTTATGGTTCCATATGAATTTTAAAATAGTTTTCTCTAGTTCTGTGAAGAATTTTATTAATAGTTTCATAGGAATAGCATTGAATCTGTAAATTGTTTTGGGCAGTGTGGCCATTTTCATGACATTGATTCTTCCTATCGATTAGAATGGAATTTTTTTCTATTTGTTAGTGTCATCTCTGATTTCTTTGATCAGTGGTTTGTAGTTCTCCTTAAAGAAGTCATCCACCTTCCTTATTAGCTATATTCCTAGGTAATTTATACTATTTTTGGCAATTGTGACGGGTAGTTTGTTCTTGATTTTACTCTCAGTTTGACTGTTGTTCTATAGATATGCTAGTGATTTTTACACATTGATTTTGTATCCTGAGACTTGCTGGAGTTGTTTATCAGCTTAACAAGTTTTGGGCTGAGGCTATGGGGTTTTCTAGATACTGGATCATGTCATCTGCAAACAGGGGTAGTTTGACTTCCTCTCTTCCCATTTGGATGCGCTTTATTTCTTTCTCTTGCCTAATTGCCCTATCCAGAATTCCAATGTTATGTTGAATAGGAGTGGTGAGAGAGGGCATCTTTGTCTTGTGATGGTTTTCAAAGGGAATGCTTCCATCTTTTGCCCATTCAGTATGATGTTGGCTGTGGGTTTGTTACAGATGGTTGTTATAATTTTGATGGATGTTCTTTCAATACCTAGTTTACTGAGAGTTTTTAAGATGAATGCATGTTGAATTTTATCAAAAGCCTTTTTCTGTATCTATTGATATAATCTTATGGTTTTTGCCTTTAGTTCTGTTTGTGTGATGAACCATTTGGTATGTTGAATGAAACTTGCATCCCAGGGATGAAGCCTACTTGATTGTGGTGAATAAGCTTTTTGATGTGCTGTTAAGTTTAGTTTGTCAGTATTTTGTTGAGGATTTTCACATCGATATTCATCAAGGATATTGGCCTGAAGTGTTCTAATTTTTGTATCACTGCCAGGTTTGGGGATTAGGATGATCCTGGTCTCATAGAATGAGTTAGGGAGGAGTCCCTCTTTTTCAATTTTTTTGGAATAGTTTCAGTAGAAATGATATCAGCTCTCCTTTATACTTCTAGTACAATTCAGCTGTGAATCCATGTGATGCTGGGCTTTCTTTGGTCTGTAGGCTATTTATTACTGCCTCAATAACAAAACTTGTTGGTGATATGTTTAGGGACCCAATTTCTTTCTACTTCAGTCTTGGCAGGGTGTATTTGTACAGGAATTAATCCATTTTTCTATAGATTTTCTAGTTTATGTGCATAGAGGTGTTCATAATCTCTGCTGTTTGTCTGTTTTTCTGTGGGGTTGATGGTAATATCTGCCTTGTTGTTTCTGATTGTGTTTATTTGAACCTTCTCTCTTTTCTTCTTTATTTGTCTAACTAGTGGTCTATCTTATTAATATTTTTCACAAAAACAGCTCCTAGATTTGATGATCTTTTGAATTTTTTTTCTATCTTTATCTCCTTCAGTTCAGCTCGGATTTGGGTCATTTCCTATCTTCTGCTATCTTTGGGATTTGTTTTCTCTTGGTTCTCTAGTTGTTTTAGTTGTAATGTTGTGTGATTAATTTTAGATTTTTCTGATTTTTTTAAATGGGTCATTTAGTGCTATAAATTTCCTTCTTAACACTACCTTAGCTGTGTCCCAGAGATTCTGGTCCATTGTATCTTTGTTAGTTTCAAAGAACTTCTTGATTTCTGCCTCAATTTCATTATTTACCCAAAAGTCATTCAAAAACAGGTTATTCAATTTCCATGTAATTGTACGATTTTGAGTGAACTTTTTAGTCTTGATTTCAAACTTGTTTGTGTTGTGGTCCGAGAAAGTGTTTCTTATGATTTCAGTTCTTTTGCATTTGCTGAGGAGTGTTTTAGTTTCAATTATATGATGGATTTTAGAATAAGAGCCATGTAGCAATGAGAATAATATATGTTTTTTAGTGGCGAATTCTGTAGATATCCATAAAGTCAATTTGATTCAGTGCTGAGTTCAGGTCCTGAATATCTTTGTTAATTGGCTGTCTCAATAATATGTCTAATATTGTTAGTGGGATGTTAAAGTCTCTTATTATTACTGTGAGGGAATCTAAATTTCTTTGACGGTCTCTACAAACTTGCTATATAAATCTGTGTGATCCTGTGTTGGGTGCATATAAATGTAAGACAGTTAGATCTTCTTGTAGAAATAAACCCTTTACCATTATGTAATGGCTTTTTTTGTTGAAGCCTTCTTTATACAATACTGAATTCCACTCACTAAGGCTCTGCCTTCATAACTTAATCACCTTCTAAAGACACTGCCTCTTAATACTGTCATATTGACTTTAAATTTCAACACATGATATTTGGAAAGAATATTATTCAAACCATAGCAGAAAGAGAAGTTTAAATGTAGGTAGTGAGGAAACTCCTTTTCAAAAACAATAAAGCCTGAAGTATTCTTAGTTGAAAACAATCAATGAATAGATTGTGATTACTTATCTTTATTTTAAGAAAGGGTTGTAATGATAGTCTAGGAAGCATGCTTGTAAGTTTGAGGTTTTCTTAACTGGACAGTATTTTTTTTCCTTCAGCTTTTATTTTAAGTTCCTGAGTACATGTGAACTATGTGCAGGTTCATTACATAGGTAAATGTGTGCCAAGATGGTTTGCTGCAAAGATCAGCCATCGCCTATGTATTAAGGCCGGCATCCATTAACTATTCTTCCTGATGCTCTCCCTCCTCCCTCTCATCTCTGTTCAACAGGTCTCAGTGTGTGTTGCTCCCCCCAATTTTTCTATTTGTTATCATTGTTCAGCTCACACTTATAAGTGAGAACATGCAGTTTTTGGTTTTCTGTTCCTGTACTAGTTAGCTGAGGATATCAGCTTCCAGCTTTATCCGTGTCCCTGTAAAGAACATGATCTTGCTCCTTTTTATGTCTGCATAGTATTCCATGATGTATATGTACCATGTTTTCTTTACCCAGTCTATTATTGATGGGCATTTAGGTTGATTCCATGTCTTTGCTATTATGAATAGTGCTGTGGTGAACAAACACATTTGTGGATCTTTATAATAGAATTATTTATATTCCT